CTTTTCTCATATTTGTTTCCCTAATATTTACCATAAGGCTTAATTAGAGAAAAATAGGAAGACATCTAAAATGTGAGGCGTAATCCCAGAGAAGACTGCTGACTCACAAAGACTACCTTTTCCATCCAAGTGGATTCCACTGGGTTAATTAAAAGCCTAAAGAGTACTTGTAAGATTTTGCTATTGCTCACGAGGAGTTGGTACATGTTCATAACACACCTTAATTCTTTTTCATCCCCTCCCCTGTCTTCCCGCTGCCTCCCTCCAGCTGTTGGCTCCTTGCCATTTATAAAAGATCTATCTCCCTCTGTCCTATCACCTTTTATTTTGCTCTTTAATTTATTTATACCTGGACTTCTCACATGAGAGGACCATATGATATTTAAGCTTGTATGTCTAATTACTTTCCCTAAACATCATGGTTCTTGAAAAATTCTGAAATCCCTAGAGAATTTGCTGTATTCTGGGTACCTTTCCCTCAGCTAGCTCCTTTAACCTTCATGATCCCTCAGGTGGTAGAGGTGCTATGTTATAACCCCATGCCACACATGGAGAACCACTTCGGGTCACAGGCCCCATGGCTGTTGAGGAGTTGACATGGCATCTAACTTAGGCAGCCTAAGATCTTTGCTCTGCAGGTTGCTTTAATACTGAGGAAAGAAGCTGAAGGAGAGTGGATACCAGCAGATAATTTTATCCTAGTGTGTAAGGAATTGGTGAAATGTAATAGCTGCCATATTTCATGTCCTGCTCACATGCCTGCTTCTTTGCTGAGCAGTGTCAGTACATTGTTTTATTCCATCTTCAAAAAGCCCTGTGAGGACTGATGGTCCTCATTTTATAAATGACACCTTTGAGAGTGTGCCGAGTTAAGTAGCCCGCTGCTGAAGGTCACATGGAAACAGTAAGTAGCAGAGCTGAATTCTGGGGCAGGTCTGCTTCCTTCCAGCACCATGTGGCTGACCACGGGTGCTGGGCTGCTTCCACATGTGGAGATGCACACCTGTGCCTCAGGAGCAGGTGCACCCACCTCAGGGATGCTATTGTCTATGGCAAGTATAGAGCTAGGAGAGCTAGTCAGGGAAGCTTTGTATTGAGCAATACTAGAATATTAAAATAGAACATAAAATACTTCTGTTCAATTTTTAAAAATCTGTCAAGAAGCACCTCCAATGTTATGCTCCAGGGTATGATACCATCCCAGACATTTCATATTCTGATATAATCCTGTTTCATCTGTAATTGACAGAGACTGTAGCTGGGATAATTTTTAGGACATTTAAATTCTAGAGCAGAGGTTTCATTTTTGTGCAGAGAATGAAATCCCATCACAGTATGTATTCAACCAGAATTAGGGTAATGAAATTTTTAACCCTAAGTAAAGAAAAATAATGGTTGCCCAATTGAGAAAACAATTTTAATAATAAAATGTGAGACAAATAAGGCTATGGAGTTAGAGTCTTCATTCCTGACTTTATCAGTGCAGGGTAATTTGAAAGGAAGGTTATGGCGTAAGAAGGCATGAGTCTTTTAATGCTGTAGAACAAGGTGTGTTCTGTATTCTGGAAAAACACACGTGTAGAAATTAAGGAGTAATGGAATCTAATTATGGATTTTGGTGTCTGGAGACCTCGTTCTATAAAGCACTGTGAAGCTGGGTTCTCTTTGTTTCAGTGGTTGTAAGAAGAGAACCTTGCTGCACGGACTGGTATAAATATTTGGTGTTAAGAGCTCAGGCATGCCGTCTCATAGTATGTTCCCAAGAACGCTAACTTTCTTTTATTAGTATTGACAACTTCCACATGTCCCGAGGTGCTCAATTAGGGTTCTGCTGTGTCCACCCATCTGTTCTCAGTCCCCGTTGTAATAGACTGTGGACTGACCCCTACCCCCTCCCTGCTCTAGCTAAGGAAACAGCATATGGAGCACAGCAGCCTTGTCACTTACTTCGTTTCAGAGAATTCGCAGAATCACTTAGCACATTCGATGAGCAGTTCTGGTAGAGTCCTTCGTTTGAATTGTTTGGTAACGATAACGAGCTGTGTTTGTATGTACCCAGGTTTATGTGGGTCCAATTTCAAGAAACATCATGATTTAAAAACATAAAAGTGAAAATTGAGCATGCCTTAATAAAGCAGCATATGTAAGAGCACATGGCTTGCACTTTCCATCTCTTATGGAATTGATTTTGGTAGATCTGGTCAGAAAGAAACTGGGCAAAGGGCTTTATTTTCCTTTTCTATCTCTCTTCTTTCCTAGATAGAAAGTCATCTTTTCCTTACATTTCAGGAAATAAGCAAATGGCTTGTATTTGGTCATAACAATATAAAAAGAAATTTTTATGTTTAAGTCTAATATCTTTATTTTAACAAAACTTACTTTAAGGAACGGTATACCTTATTAAAACCACAAGTGGTATCCATTGGGTATCAGTGGGTACTTATGATCATACAAACATAAACACAAAAGTTACTAATTTTAGCCTTTTATTTTGCTTTGTTCCTCTCTTTAAAAGAATAGCAATTCAGCCACCCATCAAAGTCTGCAGGAAAGCCATAATAATTAATTGGAAACTTACTTTCTTTGACTCTGGGACATACTACCTTTTAGTTATATCACAGCAATATGTGATTGCCCCTAATAAATATTAATAATTAGCCACCCAGAAGCATCTTTTCATTGGCCACAGCACTAACTAGTATAGAATTTGTGAGTTGAAAGAATATTACAAGGGCTGATCAAAAATATATTGTGCTTAAATTTAAAAAATTATTACAGGAAAAGATACACTGTCATTAATCTTCAAAATACTACCCCCTCACTTTAAACATACTTATCCCATTGCTTTTGCTACTTCTTCAAGCAGTTCTGGAAGTCCTCTTTCAGGAGTGTCTTTACGAAGTATGATTTTTAGAAAAACAGTGATTTCTGCTACTGAGCCCCATCTAACGAAAGTTGGGCTCGAAAAAACATTATGGTGTGTCCTCATCCCGCTTATTTGCTGTACCTGGTGTTGTGTGATCTTTGGCTCTTCCCCAAAATGGTCATAAAGGTCTGGGGATGTAGCTCAGTGGTGGAGTACTTGCCTAATGTGTGCAAAACCCTGAGTTCAATTCCCAGTACCACCAAAAAAAAAAAAAATCATGAGAGCTAATTTTTGTTTTGTTTTGTTTTGGTATCAGAAATCGAACTCAGGACCTTGTGTTTGCCAGGCAGGTGCTTATGCCACTGGGCTGTATCCCCAGCTGAGCTAAATGTTTTGAATTAGTTCAGGACATTATGGCAGCAGTGCAACTAAAGACCCTCACAAAAGAGGAATTCCAAAGCTGCTTTAGAGTGGTGAGAATGATGGGATGAGGGTGTTCAGAGTGAGGGGAATATTTAGAGGGGAACTGATGGCAGTGGGTCTTTTACTGTAAAAATGTTCTAAATTTGCCATCGTTTCTAATTATACTCATTATGTACAATTCACTATAAAACAAGTTTGGAAGTTCAGGAGTTAATTTCAGCACACAATGAGCCGATTTTAACAAATTGTAATTAGCAGGTATGACTTCAGCACTTTTTCCAGAGAAGACAAAACCTTCTATCAGCAATGACCTTGGTCCACTTATCAGTGGTAGTCTTACCTTTGCTTTTACCGTAGCTCTATCTCCTACTTTCTGTGATGTGTCATTGACCTAATATTAAACTAAAATGCTAGGGGTGCTCTAAATGGAATAGATTCATTAAAATCCTGCTTTGGCACCTTCTGATTTTCTTGAAAAAATGTATTGTCATTGCTTAATAACTGATTCTTCTTAATTCTCAGATGAACACAGATAGTCCTCAGCAATTGTGACAAGTTGTTTTTAGTATGAACTCAGCCAAAGAGCTCAGGTTCAAATGAAATTTCACATTTGCTGATAGATATAATCTTTGTTAAAAAGTCGTATCTTTATGTGTGTACTGTGTTAGTGTCATAGTGTTACAGTAATTTCACATGGAAAAAAAGCCAGTGCCTTTGTAATTAGAACTGTAGAGCTTTTATACTTTGTTGGAGCATTTTGTTTTACATTTATTTTTCTTGTTCTTAAACTTAAGTTTAAGCATGATCTGGGTCAAAATAATATAAAGCACCAAAGTGATACCCTATCTTAGAGAAAATTACAAATTAAGGTTTATTTTGAATATTTTGAATGGTGAGAATGAAATATATTCAGCTGAAAAATCTTAAATTTCTGCAATTTTTCTTTTCTTTCTCTCTCTCTCCTTTTTTCTCTTTTCTTTCTCTTTGAGGGAGGGTTTTACTAGGTTGGTAAATTGCCTAGGCTGGGCTCTTGAACTTATGATCCTCCTGTCTCAGCGTCCCAGAGAGCTGGGGTTACAAATGTACACCACCATACCCGTTTTCTTTAACATTAAAAAGCCACAAAGGGTAAAGCTCAGAATTAAGATTTTAATAAGCCCATTCCATTTTAGAACATCTCTTACATGTTTAGTTTAGTATTAGGTCACTACTGGTCAAAAAGAGGGAGAATTACTTCAGCATGTGGACTTGACCCTAGACTTCGGATTGATTCCCATGGGCCGATCTCAACTTCAACCCCAATCCCGGGGCTGAGAGGAATAAAGTCACGTAGTAAATAGTGGAGACTTTGAAAACATTTTCCTTTCTTTAAGATGAAGTTTGCCAAAGAGTACAAATAATATTGCTCATGAATTCATGCCCAAGTAACAGTTGAATTATTCAGTAGTCATGTTTTTCAAACAAGCTCATCTTAATATTATTGTTAGCTTTAAAAATCTCCTTTCTTAATAGTAATCAAAAATTGATAATAAGGAAAGTAGACATTTATAGATGCTATTAATATTAATAGATTTGTGCTAGGACTCTAGAGCCTTTCTAGCATTTTAGTGGTACTGTTTGTTTTAAATTAACAAAACAGTTGTTAAGATGCAGGTTTGCACTATTTTTTTTAATGCTTCTCTAACTAAATCTCCAAACCTGTTTTTCTCAGAGACCAGCAAACTGAAGATGTCAAAGAAGACTCTGAAGAGAAAACAGAAAGTGAAAAGAGGCCATCACAAGAAGCCAGAGGTAGCCATGATATGCTCATTATTGACAGATATTAATATTAATACTCAGTAATCAAAAGCTTGAGTCCAAAAGATATAGTTCAGTGGTAGAGTGTTTGCATAGGCCCTGGGTTCAGTCTCTAGCACTGCTAAATAAATAAACAACAACAAAAAAAACTTAACTGGAACACAGCAGTCACATTTATATTAAAGATAAGTTTCATTTGCTTGGCTTATTTCTTAATATAGGCAATAAAAGTTTATTGTTAAGCATAAATATAGTATGTAATTCATAATGGTACAGATTTACCTGTGGCCTTTATTACAGTATCTTTCATCTATCAGGACAACACCATATAAAGTTCAGCAAGACATGGTCTTTGGCTCTTGTCGTACAGTTTCTTTCATATTATTGGTGTCCTTTGTTTCGTATGTTTAAAACTGAATCCTGGACGTATTCTGAAATCCAAACAAAATACAATCTTTAATGTAATACCACAAAATGAATGGAAAATCATTTGAACAAATGTTCCAAGTTGTACTGGAGAAACTAATTTGTCTCATGGCTTTGTTTAAAAAACAGTGATTTAATTAAGCAGTGAGGATACTAGTGGTTAGTCATAGATTATATTTGTAATCCAAGTATAAATATATAATTATTATTTTTTATAAGAAGATGTTGGTCTGGTTATCAGCTTAATGATTGCTCCCGTAGACTTTGCTTTTCAGGTGTATTTTTTGTTTAGATTAGTAGAGAAGATTTGAGAATAGCACCTAATGACTGCCTGCCTGCAATGACCTGTTCCATAATTGGTGGTCTATTTTCTGTATCTGACTGTCATAAAGCAGTAGATCTAAAAGTTATGTTCAGTGCTGTCTTCAGCAGGTTTCAAGGTGTGTAGTGTGGCGCTGTGTACAGACCCTGCAGCCAGCCAGGGTTTAATCCCTCCGCTACCATATCCCAGCTGTGTGATCCTGACCGTGGCATTGAACACCTCTGTCTGTCACGTGTCTGTCCAAAAGGCTGGTGATGGCCTGTCTCCTTCATGATGATGATAGAGTAGTACCTTATTTGCTTGGAACAGTGCAATGTAGTATATGACCATTTTAAAAGTCCAGTGCGTTATCCATTGTGCCTCAGAGCCACCTTGTATGACCACTTGAAAAGGGACAAAAATGCTTAATTTACAGAGATGTAGTTGTGAGGGCTTCAGGCTTTGTCGTGAACATTAGCACAGGAGCAGTTAAGGTCACGATCTTCTTTCAGGTCACGATCTTCTTTCAGGTCTCAGATCTGCCACGTATGAACTGTGTAACTGTGCCTCGGTTCTCTTGTGGAAAGTTGATGTGGTCCTCGTGTCACATTTTTCAATTATCCTGAGGCTGGAACTGCATCCATAGCTGAAGTGTCTCCTATCATTAGTAGCAGGAGTACCCGGGAATATGTCTCTAATTGTACATTGGCATATAATCATGGAAGGCCCAGATACAGTCAGAACAAAGTTTTCTAGGTTTGGAACTGTTTGAAGAAATAATGATTTAATAGCACTTTGATTTGATTTAGCGATCTATTTAAATTTTTATTTGCTAACCCAGTTTTGATTTTTTTTCTTGAAAATTGTCTATTTAATGGACAGTTTCATATTTAACATTTGATGTACCTGATATCTCATTTTTAATAGTTTTTAACTTTTTCTTAATTTGAGTTACCTGAGCTTTGTTGTGTAATTCTTTTCAAAGAAATTGCTAGAACTCTATATAATTCTTTTTTGTTTTGGTTTGATTTTTTTCCAGTACCAGGAATTGAACTCATGACCTTGCGCTTGCCAGGCAAGTGCTGTGCTGCTGAACTAAATCCCCAGTCCCCTCACATGTAATTCTTAATTTTATGGTTTTTCTATGTAACTTATTTTTATTTTTTTTTTTTTTTAGCCATAAAGCCTATAGTTTAATATCCATACTTTACTTACTGTCTTACTTTTTTTGGTGAAAGAAGCCTCGTAAAATAAGTTGATTTGAAAACTGCACTTCTTTTAAGTGAGATTGGCTTATGATTTTTTTCTTTATTATCTCATCTAGTTTTAGTCCCCTAAAATTAATTTGATAACTTTTCTTCTTTTTCATATTTTTAAAATATTTTAATAAGACTGTTTCATAAAATAACCTTATCTGTAGTGACATCATGTTTCCTGGACTTTACATACTGTCTTTCTTAGCTTTAGGTTTCCTTTTCTTTTTTGAAATGAACAGATTCTTTGCAGAATCATTTTGTATGGGAGAGACTTGGATTTCCCTTTCTCTGTTTCCTGTCTAGTGGAGTGTTGGCCATGGGCACCTGAACCCCAGGGGCTCTCAGTCCTCAGCCAGGTGTTGTCGTTTGAGGATTTGCATTCCTTGGTGACACTGAGATGGCTCAGATACTAGTCAGTGATGTCCTCCTGCCTCTTTGGGCTTGGCAGAGCTGTGACCTCTCACCTTTGACTGTGCTCCCTGAAAGCAGATGCAGAGAGTGTCCTGGGGCAAGTTGGTGGGAGTTCTTGGGGACAGCAGCAGTGACAGAGTGAGAGAGACAAGGCTGTGTAGAATGAAAAGGTGAAATACGACATAATTACAGCAGAGACCTCAACAGGGCCATGACTGCTTCAGAGCCATCCCAAGTTCAGGCATGGGAACTTGGCCTTTCTGTCCTGGAATTGCCAACCCTCAGAAGGTGGCTGGGGTGGGGCGCATATCCTTGGCGAGGGAGGCTTAGGACGGTTCCTGGAAGAGAAGGCAGCCCGGGCCATCAACATCCAACCGTGGGAGAAGGAGCGTCGCAGTTCTGCAGGGTGAGCCGAGCGGCCTGCACAGTCCCAGTGCCTCCCTCCAGCTGTGGCACTTCTGTGTTTTCCTTTAAGGAAAATCAAGCGGAAAAGAAAGAAAAAAAAACAAAACGCAATATCATTTCACTCATTTGGGGTGAGGCCAGCCAAATTGCATTCAATCTTTTGGCGTTAAAAAAAAAAACAAAAACAAAAACGAACCTGACTCTTCAGTCCTCTTTCACAGAGGTCCCCGGTCACCTTTAGTTCTAGAAAGCTTCCTTTAGTAATAGTTTAGATTATTGACTCCAGTCCATGGGTCTCTTTCTCGACTGGTCATGCCTGTTGTTCTTGGGTTGAAGTCAAGGGTCGATGTTCAGAATATCAGTGCTTCCCAGGATCATTAAACAAGCAGTGAGCTCAGTTCGTGCTGGAGCCGGGTCCCTGCCAGGCCAGAGGTTTCCCTGAGATTCTGGGTCTCGGGGAACCCCACAGAGTCACAGCTGCGGGGTGGGGAGGTGACCGTCATCAGCGAATACGGAACTACTCTATTATTTTCACAGCACACACACTGTTCGGTATTGTAGACGTGTTTCTCAAGTGGCGGTAGCACACTTAACCTCTCGTTCTCTCAAGTGTGCTGTTCACTGCCTTGAACACAGATTTCCACACAGTATGTTTTATGTTTCTGTAATTTGCTCCACTGGCTCGTTCTCTTTTCAGAGCTTGCTTCTCTGTTTTGTAGAGGTGATGTCCCCTGTGGCCTAGTAAGATCATGCAACTCTTCTGTCAGCTAATTAGGGCACTTCTTCTGATGCTCTCTGGAACATATTACCAGAACTCCACGGTGATCATCTCTTTTGTCATTTTTGAGTCCAAACAAAGTTCCCCATGTTTTTTTTTTATATATATATAAAGAACATTTAGTGCTCATTCCTCCCCTTTGTGCTGGGCAGAATTTCTTCAGATGAAAGGCTGAAGGCCCGGGAGGCGTCCACTATGCCGAACCCCTCTCTGGAGCTGAGTGGGTGCTTAGCGGTGTTTATGCAGTTCCATCCTCAGTGGTCGAGCGGCCTTCCAAACCCAGCTGGGCTGGGGCACTGGGAAAGCAGTAAAAAGCCCCTTGCAAGAGAGGAGATGGAGACCTCGCAGCCACTGGAATTTCCTTCCAAGGCCAGTAGGATCTAAGACCCAGGAGGTCCATGAGAACTGTTTCTTTTGGAGTCTTGGAGCAAATTGCTTTGAAAAAAAGAAACTTCTCTCTAAAAAGACATTCCCCCTAGTGTCATCAGTTAATTCAATTTAATTTAGTATAACTATGTATGATTACGAGCCCCCTTTGACGGATTCCTGCCATGTTGAGGAATTTGACCTTTAAAGACTTTTACTGAATATGATTTGCTGTTGCTGTTGTTCTTTGTCTCCTTTACCCAACAGGAAAAAGAGCTCATTCCACTCTTGTAGAAAGGCTCATTAATAAAGGTTTCTGTAAATCAGCCTTCAATTTTCTTGTATTCTTGCAGAAGGTACGGTTGTGTTTTCCTTCCTACAAGCAGGCTTTTTCATGGGTAGCTCCTGTGCGCAAAGAGTTAAATAGTATTTTGTTATGTGCAAGATTCTCACTTGAAAAAAATCTGGCTTCGTTTTTGTCTGCAGCATTTGGTTTCTTGTTTTGATTGTTAACCTTGAAATGATTTTCAAACTAATCTTTCATGCTTGAGATTAAGTTTCTTGAAGTTAATTGTATCTCTATTCCTCGGTACTTCAAATCTATTTATTTTCCCCTAACACATACTGGTACCCTTTTATATTTAGTCATTGGTTGGTAACCCTGTTTTTAAAATATGTTAAACAGTTGTATCTCCTTCTGCCTTTGCACTGAATGAAGATTAGTCTAGATGGTTTAAAGACTCGTCTTTACTTTTGCCATTTTGCCTCCAGTATACATCCATTTTTTACCTTTCTTTCGGGAAAAGAGTAAGTTCACTCTTTGCACGTGCTTCCTATGCATCAGAAACTGGGATAAGCACTTAGAAACCAGCATGTAATCCTCACAGCAGTGCTGTTAAATGCATTCAGCCAAGTTATCAGTGACAGAGGAGGGATTCGAATCTACTTTACCAGGTTTAACTGCAGAGCTCACCCTCTTGATGAGGACTCTGTATTTTCTATCAGGACGCAGAAGACCTAGGATGTCCTGGGGTGCCCTGTCATGACTTCC